CCGAGAACGCCCACACGGGACAGAAAAGGTATTATGGACGGAGAGTCAATCAGTCGGTCAGTGAGCTGCAGCCAGAGAGCTAAACACTGGGAAAGTGCGGGTGTAGTATAGACCCAGCACGATAGTGCTGTGAAAGTCCGAGGCAGAGAGAGAGAGAGAGAGAGAGAGAGAGAGAGAGAGAGAGAGAGAGAGAGAGAGAGAGAGAGAGAGAGAGAGAGAGAGACCAAGTCAGGGTCAGAGTCAGTATCTCTTTAGTGAGATAGAGTACCTTGCAACCGTCAGACAGCAAGGTCTGAGTGAGAGTCTCGGCCACGGTACTGGTCGAAGGTATAGTTCCGATGGCGACGCAAGGACAAGGGGGCTGGATGCTTCAGTAGTGACTGTTCTGGGTGACAACGCAAGGAGACGTAGTATCACCATGGAAACAGAACAGTAGGGATGCCGACGAGAGATATGTGCTAGAGGGGACTCGTGTTAGAAGTCCTGTCTATCATCGGAGTCCTTCGATAGGCTAATGTGTTGTGTGCACATGCTGGAGAACCAACAAGTGAAGTCCGTTTCCAGTCAGCCGTTGTTGTCTACTGAAGTCATTTCAAGGTCGATTTGATAGGAGTGTTTGTCCTGTTCTGCTGTACGGCGAGCCTAGAGTTGTGGGACGCTGAAGACCTTTGGAGCTGTAGCGGTCAGGGAGAGATCGCTTAAGTTTGAGAGAGAGACACACACACACACACACACACACAGAGACAGAGAGAGAGAGAGAGAGAGAGAGAGAGAGAGAGAGAGAGTGGGGACTAGGTGCGAATGCCAGTTAGGATCAGTGTCTACGTCTATGAGTAGTGTGATGTTGCAATACACTTAATGCATGACGGAACTGACAGCGTCGTGTCGTAACTCAATATGTCAAGTGAATATCCGTACCTGTGGACACTTGATCGTGTGCTGATTATTGTGTAACTCAGATAACACACAACAGGTTCTTGAAATATTACAAATTAAAAGAGTATAATTGAAATAAATAAGAGAGAGAGAGAGAGAGAGAGAGAGAGAGAGAGAGAGAGAGAGAGAGAGAGAGAGAGAGAGAGAGAGAGAGAGAGAGAGAGAGAGAGAGAGAGAGAGAGAGAGAGAAAGACTGAGAGTTGAAATATTTTGGCCACGTTTAAAAAAATCAATGCAATCGCAGATTGTGGAGTACATGATCGCCCACGCCAGTCGACAAGGAACTTGATGATGATGCTATGACACTACAAACACTTTCTACAAACTGATAAACCACTTATATTCTGTCCTTGTTTGTAATTTACTGTTGTTCAATGCCGGCTTTTTTTTTCTGTTAAAACCGAAATCATGACATTCATGTAGTCAGGGTTTCTTTCAGACAGTATATAGTGCTCGCATTTTTTTTTTTTTTTTTTGTTGGTTAATGCATAATTTTTAGCATTACTGTAATAGACGATTTGTGGTGAGTGTCGGCACCTTTTTTTTAGATAGTTTGGGGTGAGTACCGGCACCTTTTTTTTTAGTGGGTGAGAGGGGGGGGGGATCCAGGCTTGTAGCTCTTCACAAAAACCTTAAAGTAAAGTAAAAATCCCTGCTCACGCCTCTAGGCGTATCGGGTATATGGGAAGAACGCCGATATTTTTACAGACCATCTGCACTAGGTGGGTAATGTGGTCAGCATTACGCCGAAGGCTGACCGTCGGTAGTGACAGCGGATCCAGCCAACCTGTCAGCTCTTTCATTTCCATCGACGCCTGCGTGTCCCGGAACAAAAATAAAGGTGACTCCACGCACAGTGGACTTCTGTAATGATTCAAGCCATTGTCTTCGCACTGAACCTGCCGGAACCCACCGGATCATACTCATTGAATCACTGAGTATACACACGCGGGTGTATTTTTGTGTTTCAAGCTAGGCAAGCGCTTGCGTCACTGCAATCACCTCCATAGTCATGCTGCTGGTTGTCATGGAGAAGGCGCAGTTGGCTTCTTTGACTGTTCTGCCCGCTGAGCGTGCTGTAAATGCCCATGCGCTTCTTCTTTGGCGTATAACGGATCCGTCTGTATAGATTATTGCATCTGCTTCGTCTGAATTTTCCCCGATGAGAGCGTTGACCTCTGCATAAACAGCAACAGGATTCTCTTCTCTACATCGCCTGTTGAGTGTGACAATACAGGAAATCCTTAAAGTGGTTTCTTTATTAACGCATTATTTGTTTCCTAAGAATACAGGTAAACAGTTTTTTTTTCTTCCACGTCTGATAGCAAACACAATCACGTGACTTGATAGTTTGTCGTCTGATATTTTTTATCTTGTCGATGGAGCAGCTGGTGGAAACCTCCCCCCCAATACAAGAGGGCTTCAAGTTTTCCAGTTGATTCCTCTCGTTGGTTGTGGTAAGTACTGTAACTGATTTTATTGTATACACTCGTTTAAGTGTTTCTACACACACACACAAAAAAAAATAGGTAATTGTACGTGGTAATTTAAATGACATGCAACTGTCCTTACAGACCACTCCTGCAACACTTCTTTGAGGTGACTACTTGAGGTAACGGTTGGAGGCAATTTTTGAAGAAGCAGAAGTGGCAGTTGATGTCAGGGCTTTTTATTCTGGTGGTACTCAACAGTACGCAGTCCCAGCACCTTTCTTGAGGCACGATTTTTCAGTGCTAATAGACACTTTGTAGTTAGTACCGGCGGCGTTAGAAGAAGAAAAAGCCTTAGTACACAAAATAATTTGGCTCTCCTTTAAATAACGGTCGCTAGCTGTAAGGCAGCGGCCGCTTAGTCGGAGTTCAGTCCCCTGGCTGCAGTGCAGTTACGGAGTGGACAAGAGGGAACGACACAAATGAGATAGTTACCTGTCATCCTAGGGTTAGGCTTAGGGTTTGGGTTAGGGTTTTGGGTAGGGTTAGGGTAAGGGGTAGGGTTAGGGGTAGGGTTAGGGTAACACATCACGGAAACCACGCAAGCTTATCGCTCATTATGACATACAGATCCGCAGGTCTCACATCTACGGTCACTAAGTCTTGCGTTGGAGAAACGCAGTCGCTAATTTGAGTCGCAGCGCGTGGTCTACGAGGGTCTTGCGTCGCAAGAGCGCGGTGGCTAATGTCAGTCGCAGTGCATGTCGACCTCACTGTGTTTTTTGATTTGTGACTTGTCCACTCCATAATTGCACAGCAGCCAGGGGAGTGAACTCCGACTAAGCGGCCGTCAACGTCCAACTAGCGACCGTTATTTAAAGGAGAACCAAAAAATGCCGGTACTTGTGCTTGTTGCCACTCAGCTTGAACTTTTCTTTCTTCCCAAGCTTTTTTTAAAAAATTCTAGTTGTCCTTTTAACACCCACTTCTACGCCTGCTTGGATCACTTTTGTAATAATTCCATCCAGACCTGGTGCTTTGTTTCTTGAGCTCTTCTGTATAACTGCTCTTATTACAGTGCACCATTTATAAACGCCCATGACTTATTTTGAGAACTATGTGTCACTGAGTACTTGTCCCAAACATAAATTACCTGCTTCTTCACATCCACAGATTTCTCATAGATTGCAAAAAGTACATGGGATGATACCACCCAAGCGGACCAAGTCATTTGAAAAGTATGTATATACAACCTTTATGATAAGATTTATTATGCCTCTGCTGCTGGCAGTTCCCCATTTTTAGGATGGTGTTGGGTAGGAATAAAGCTTCTGGTGCTAGAAATAAAGCCAGTCTTACAGGAAATCATACGAATGCTAGGAGTAAAGCCAGTCTTACAGGTCATCAAAGAACAACAAATCAAGTGGTTTGGACACCTAACAAAAATGCCCTGGTACTATCTGCCACAGCGAGCCACACTAAAACGTTACAACAGGTATAGAGCAAGTGGAAGACCTCGGAAAAGATGGAGTGATGGCATTAAGAACAGCCTTACAGAAATGAACATCAGTCTTAATAGTGCTCTTGACAGAGCTCATCAATAAATGTTACATCTCCCTCTGACACTTCAATGAGGTACAAGGTGGAAGAGAAGAAGAAGAAGTAGGGCAGGCGATCTTGAGCTTGATGATTTAGGTTTGCGTTGCAAGAATATTTATCATGCACAAGTTGAAGGTAAAATAATGAACCCATTTCCACTTCCTTGTGTGTATTGTCTCACTTGTGGTTCCACTGTGTGCTGTGATGTCAATTCTTGACTCAACTCAACTCAGCTTGTGGTTCCAGCCTCATTTATGTTTTAGATAAGTCAGCATTTTTTGGGGCAAGATAAAGTAAATATAATGCTGGCTGCTTTTACTTCTATGAATATTTCATGGTTTCTGTTGTTTAAGCAGGTCATTTTTATTTGAAGTCTGCCTAGTTAAGGTTTTGAAATCTATGGCAACTGAACTTGCAGACAAACATAATAGCCTTCACTACACTTCCCACAGTCACCTACCTTCATAATACAGATACTGTTTACTCCCTAAAAATGATCAGACTTAACAATAAAAATGTCTTTGTGTGAATAGATCAGATAGACAATCTGACAGGTTCCACAAGATTGTCAGTTTCTATAGAAAAGAGGTGAAATAGTCCATGAAGAGACTGTGTGATGACTCATGTAACGTGAAACAAAATACTAACACTAAGCAAAGTCACTCTGATTTGAAAATGCTCAGTGAAAGTTGAGTTTCATTGTACATTATCAAAGCACATTTACTTTTGCAAGGAAAAGACTAATTAAATTTATGAGGCATATTATCTGAAGAAATGGATAGAGAAATTAGTATTGTGGGCGCAAATGCTACACAAGAAAGAAAAAGATGTGGAAGGTATAAACGATGAGGATGAGTATAGAGCAGAGAAGCTTGCAAGTCACAGTATTTCCTCTCATGCATCATGACATTTATTTGTGATTCTTGGTAAAGCTTGGAATTTTATTTTATTTTGAGGACACAGGAATTTACACTGATGTACCGTTTAGCATGGCAGTGTTGTTTGTGAACCCTTATTCTTATTCCTGTTCCACAGATGTTCTTTACCACAGTCACTGAATTGACCAACATCTTGTTTAAGGGATGGAACACACACACTTGGAAAGGTACTCTAAATTAGAACAATACAGCAGTGCATGCACTAAATGTGACACCTAATGTACTGCAGTTCTCTTATTTGATTTATTAACTTGTATGTGAAACTGATGAAATGTCATTATGTAAGTAAGTAAGTAAATTTACCCCACCAGGACATCACACAGAGCGATAAACACCTGGCGACACAAAGTGGATGAGGATGACCCATGGAGAGGTCCCAGGAACACCTTTCAGCCGTTTATGACCCAGCTATATTCAGGGCCACGGAAAAAAAAACCAGGGTGGGGATTCAAATAGCGAAAGATGGCATCCCTCATGTTGATGACTGTATTATGATAAACAAATGTCTTTCACATAGAATTGATAATGTCATAAATTTGAAAAAGAAGACACAAATAATAAATTGCACATTTGATTGCATTGCTTATTTGCTGTATCTTGTCAGATGCATGCAACAGTAACAGTTGAATACAGTGAAGGAAATAAGTGAATCTTTCTGGCTGTGTTTGTGTCTTGTTTGTTAACATTTACAGCAGAGACACATTGGTTTTAGAATCTGTAAATGACAGGGATGGAGAGTCATTTGGCATTCACATGGCTTTTTCTGGACAAATAGGTGCCAGTACTCACCACAAAGTATTTAAAAAGGTGCTGATACTCACCACAAAGTGTCTATTACAGTAGTGCTGAAAAAAAATGATGCATATAAAAAGGTGCCAGTATGGCGTACCATTGCATCCTAGCAGAAAGATAACCCCCAAGTCAAGTAATAGTTGTTTTTCATTTTGGCAAAATAACCAGTAACAATAGCCACTTCCCGGTGAACAAGTGAAATGGGATCAACTGTGATAAATAAAATTGTTACCAAGAAGTTCAGCTATTTCCTCTTCCTGTGAACATTGTGGGTTCTGCTTCAGATGATGCTGTTTTGGTTTGTGAGTGCTTGAGTGTTGGAGATCCCTTGATGCTGCCACAGGAGTCTTTGTGTTTTTTATGATGGGCAAAAAAGCTGCCTTGCAGATAGAAACCAAACAATGAGAAATAAAACACTGTGTCAGTACTTTTATCTTTAACTCTTTTACCTTGAACAAAACTGACAACTCCAATTTGATCCAGTTCCCCACAAATGTTACTTTTCTGACCTATATGTAGTGACCTGGCTACGAGATACATAGTTAATGTCATTGGTTGTTTTCATGCCTGCGCAAACATTTAGGACAGCAGGGTATGAATACATTAACTAAAAATAGCATTTAGAGGGTTTTTACTTTGGGCCAAAAAGGTATTTAAAGCCTCCCCCCCCCCACCCCCCGTAAGTATTGTAAGGGTATTGTTATGAAAAGTGTGACTGAAAACTCAGTGGGACGAAAGGAACTTTAGTAACAGTTGGGATAGAATAAGCTGAAGCTACAGCTGGGTGTGACACGTGGTGCCCTGAAAACCTGGAAATTCCAATAAAGGTATGGTAAATTGCTTAATACTGATTGGTACTGAAAGAGTTAACAGTTCACATTTAATGACATGCTTGTTAAGAGGCAGTGGGTCTGCTCCCCCCCCCCCCCCCAGCCCCAATGGGGCTCCATAACCCCAATGGTTATAAGATTATTATATTATTGTCTTGTTTTGTATCTTGTTTTCCAGATGTCTGCACATCAGCAATTATTATTTGTGCACTGACCATTATTTTCGAAGGTCTTAAGGCCGGGAAGTCTTACGTAAAACTGAGGCAACAGAAGAGACATGAAGTCGCCAAAGAGGAAGATCAAAACAATGAGTTTGGTTTAGAGATCACTTCCATGCGTGCAGAACTCATTGCTGCCTCCTCGTCTGGTGCTGAGGAAATTAAGATAAAGAGGTGGGTAGCATCTTATATGAAGTTTGATTGTTGGATCCAGTTTCCAAAATCTTTGTTGTTGTTGTGACAATGTTGAAAGTTGAGTTAGGAATTGATATCACAGTACTATGGACATTAACATTAGTGCTCCATCCTCATCTTCAACATCAAGCACAGTTCCAGTTCCAGTGGCACCAGTAACAGTTTGATTGTATATCTGTCTTGCCTTTCCCTTGAGTGTTGAGTCTCGGCCAGATCCTCTGGTCGCTCCACACAGCACCACTCTCTTCAGACTGTGATGATCATTTCTTTATTGTGACAGAGTATTTAGCACCCATTATTTATATAGCAGTCAGCGCAGAGTTTTAATACTGATGGTACCAGTCACCGTCTGATTGTATGTCCGTCTTGCCTTTCCTCTGAGTGTAGTGAATCAGCCAGACCCTCTGGTTACACTCAAGTGTCTCATTCTCTCCATTCCATAATAATCTTGTTTCTCTACTGATTCCATTTCTTGTTTCCAGAGGGCCTTGGCCACATCTGTCTTGTCATGTATCAGTTCACCACCTAGTGGCGCAGATCCAGCCAATCTGTCTGCCGGGTGAGGTGAGTGAGTGGCAATTATTATTATGCAATGACTGGCACTCATAGAAAGCTGTAGAGAGAGATAGGAGGACACACAAGACAGTATAAAAATTTAAAGCTTTAGTCACCCTACCGGGAATCGAACCTGTCACCTCCAAATGACCTCCAGTTTCATTCTGTAAAACTTTTGTTATAATTATTTTATTCTGCAGAAACATATACCACATTTTGATTTTTTTTTTTAAATTCCTTTTGACAGGTTCTTCTTTTTATGTGAATCGCTGATTCATATGTTTAATGCTGTCTTTGGATACATATTAATGCTGCTGGTGATGACATACAGCGTATGGTTTATTGTGGCTGTTGTAGTTGGTAGGTGACCATTTGTTACAACTATAGAATATTCTGTCTAAGACATTGTCACATAAGAAGGTCAGGTAATTTCCTTGTACTGGACTGGTAAGCACCTCAAAGTCTATGAAGTCAGCTTTTCTTCTTATCCTTCTCCTCATCCTCTTTCTCCATTCTTCTCTTCCTTCTCCTTCCTCTTCCTTCTCCTCATCTTCTTTTTTCGTGTTCTTCTCATTTCTTTCTAGTTCTCCTCCTCCTCTTTATCATCTTCTTCTTCCTCCTCTTGTTCTTGTGGTCATGTCTTTTATGATTAGGTAAAAATATTGGGAAAAACATGAAAGTATATGACAGTAACTATGTTTCTCATAAACATACCACTGTAGAAATGCTGGATACACGGCATTCTGTAGGTATCGGAACCTACCGGAAGTACTGCTTTCAGCTTCCCTTGGTACCGCGTGCAGCTTCTCTGGGTAATGATTTAAAAATTATATAAACTATGAAAACAAAACAATAACAAATGACAGAATAATATAAAGTATATGATAATTACTGGACCAAATCAAATGTTAACAAAGAGTGAAATAGAACAGGTTATCATTTATATTTTATGATTACATCATTAGGTAAGTTCTTGTGATAAATTAATTCATACTTTGGAATCGCTCTTCAGGTCCACACCATTATCATGTGCCATGTCAATAATTCTAGGTAGTTTTGGTTTACTGTGTCATGTGATCATCAGATTTGTGAATCAGGTATGTGTTCTTGCATGCCCCCCATCCTATGCTGGATTTTTTTGATCAAGGCAAGGCTCTCTTTTTTTTTTCAGCAATGTCCATTCTCCTTTGCAGTGAAACCCTCACTTTCTTTTTTTTTAACCTCAGTACAGATCCATCTGTGTATATAAGGATGTCACCTAAGAATGAATTAATTGCTCAGCTGTTGCCTCTGTTTTGTCAGCTATCCATTCCAAACACCTTCAGTCTAAAGTAACTATCACTCTTTGCAAGGCTGTTTTGCTTGGTGGCATTTTCAAAACAAGAGTATGAATTGTTGCATAAACTGTGGCTGTAACCAGGGCCATAGCAGTTTTTGGCATTTGCTTTATGAAAAGGAAGGCTTTATGAAAAGGCAGGCTTTATGAAACAGGAAAATTTATGAAAAAGGAAGCCTTATGAAAAGGCAAGGTTTATGAAAAGGTAAGCTTATGAAAAGGTAAGCTTATGAAAAGGTAAGCTTATGAAAAGGTAAGCCTATGAAAAGGCAAGCTAATGAAAAGGTAAGCTTATGAAAAGGTAAGCTTATGAAAAGGTAAGCCTATGAAAAGGTAAGCTTATGAAAAGGTAAGCTTATGAAAAGGTAAGCTTATGAAAAGGTAAGCCTATGAAAAGGTAAGCCTATGAAAAGGTAAGCTTATGAAAAGGTAAGCCTATGAAAAGGTAAGCTTATGAAAAGGTAAGCTTATGAAAAGGGAACAAGCTGCCAGCCGAAATAACGATTTCTTGCTGGGGAAGAATAACTAAAAGGAATATTGCAGATTATTAATCTCTGTTTAGGAAGACTGAGTACTTGTGAGGCTGCCCAGACTCGGTGCTGGATTGAGGCATAAGCTAACTAAGTTGTGGCTTAGGGCCTCACAATCAGCAGGGACCTAAATTCCTAATTTTGTTTGTTTCCAAATGCAGTTTTCTCTTAATGGAACCTTTAAAAGGATTATATAATATAATTTGCAGATACATTCTTTATTGTTTCTTTTGCTAAAAATTAAACGTCAATTTATTTCCAGTGCCCGTATTGTAAAAGGTGAATATATTTTAAAGTTTTCTGAGATTAGCTGGTGAAAGTTAAAACAGTAGGTGCCTCAGAGCTGTATATATCTTAGGGCTTAATCAGGTGTAAATCGGGCCCTTGCTAAGACTAGAGTGATGTTGGTGTGTCGGCACTCAGCAATAACATCTTCTCATTTGGCAACAATCACCAGGTTCGGCTGCAGGTTACTTCATCTCTCACCCAGTATTGGAGCACCTAACTGCAGAATTCTTCCCACCTGAGGATAGACAAGGGGATCATTCTTCTGGCAAGGGTGATGGGCATCAGGAAGGATTTGGCAGCATCTCTACAACTGGCACGAATCAAGGTGCTGTCTTATAATATGTATTTGCTGTTTTTACCGAACATGTCAATTCTGTCCCAAGTAATTCTTTTGCAGTTGCAACTTCACTATGCCAATGACAACCACACAGAATTAATTTCTGTCTCTTTTGTGACATTTAAACTGAAACAAACTGCAGTCTCTGCAAAGCCTATAGCAAACACATGCATTTAATGCTTAACGCAGCCATCAGAAGGGCCAGCACAAACAGTTCACCACAAAAATTGCAGTTCTTTGTCAACAGAATCAGCAGTTACAACAACAATCAGAAAGGATGCATGTATTTTTGCATAAGGCACCAACAGTTCTGTGAAAACAGACTTTTTTTTTTAATTATAGTTCACAACACAAACAAAGGGCTGTGTACAGTGTGCAGGTTTTCTTCCCCCTTGATCAAAACATACTGAAAAATCTGGCCCCATATTTTACAGTGGAAAACATTGTATTTTGCACAGAGAAAAGTAATGCTGCTTGTTGACATATTCTCCTTGTCCTGGCGCCATTACCATTACCAGTATTATTCTAGATGCCTGCACAGCAACCCAAATATCTTCTGTTTGAATCCACGTTCAGGTGGGTTATAACAATTAACCTAGAGCCTCCAGCCTAAAATGGGTAACAGGATATGTCTCGGAAAGTAAAGATGGCTGGCTTGATGTTGATGACATCCACCATTGAGTGACAAATTGTCTATACAAATAGGAGTCCAACGCCATATGCCTAATGTGCCAGGGGTATAAAAAGTCCTTTGCATGACTTTACTGTGCTTGACTAACTTACTTTCATAAGTTTTATTAATGGTTGTGAACAGGGCTTTTTGTTGTTGTTGGTTTTTTCCGGGCAGTAGGCAGTGGTACTCAGTACCGGTACCTATTTTAGGCATCATTCCCCCCTCCCCTTCACTATTGTAATAGACACTATGTGATGAGCATCGGCACCACTTATAGACACTGTGGCATATTCTTCAAGAAAAGGGGCCCATTGTATGCAAACCCCAATTGTATTATCTTGCTAGAAGTCAGTCATGATTACCATACTTTATCAGTGAAATTGTGTTTCTGTTGATCAGATGTTAGTACCACAATTTATCAGTGATATTAACTCACTATGAATCACTTAGTACCTCAATTGATCAGTGATATTGTTTTAGGATCTTTTTTCTTCTTCTTCTTCTTCTTCTTCTTCTTCTTCTTCTTCTTCTTCTTCTTCTTCTTCTTCTTCTTCTATTCTTTCACTGATATCAGGTTGTAGCCCAGTGTCTTGGTTTTCTGTATTTTTATTGGGCTTCTCAGGGGGCTCAGGTGGTGGATTTTTTTCATCTTTTTGCAAGTTTCAGCTACACATTTATCCATGCAATTCTTGGTCTTCCTCTCGCCTTCTTTCCAGATGTTCTGCTGTTAAAAGTTTCATATGCAGCTTGGCCTGGTTGCATTCTCACTAGATGGCTAAACCATTACACTCTTTGTCTGTCAGTATAATTCAGACATGGTCTTATTCCAACTTTCTCTCTAATGCTGGTATTCATAACTCATCTTGTGTTGTTAGTGATCTTGCAGAGATAGCGCATTTTACATGAAGTAATTTTCTGTTCTAGAGTCCTCTTCAATGTCCATATTTGGCACTGATAACATAGAGTAGAGATAAAGATGCTGTTAATCATTTGCTGTTTTCCTGGAAGGGAGACTTTTGTTCTTTTATTTTAGGATCAGTCAGTTATTAGTACCACCATTTGTTGGTGGTTTTAACCAGGGCCACACACAATGGTATGCAGTATTAGAACCTTGTTTGGGTGTCATTTCAAAAGGTTAATGTAATAAACACTTTGTGTTGAGTGCCAGAATTTGGGGGAGGAGGGGGACATTTTGTGGTGTTTACTGGCACCATTTTATAGAAAATGGCCCTCGTTTTATCAGTCTATCAACTAACTATTAGTAACACATTTTATCAGTAGATATTTGTCAGTTGTCCATGTTTGTTGCAGCCAAACTAGAGATCTTGACTCGTTTCTGATGATGGACTAGCTTAAACATTCAGCACAGTCAACTAACAAGACCTCAGGGGCTTCTTTCCCAGTATTATCATTATAGCAGTAGGTAGAAAATTGCTTGTTTGTCATTGATGTGTCCAGTGTGCTAAAATAATATTATTAGGTGATGTGTAACAGAGCCTCTTTTTATTCTTTTTTTTTCTTCTGTACTCAGTCTTAAAAGGTTGGGTGGAACATTGTGCTGTGGTTTACAGCTAGGCTGTGATATCTCCAAGATTCGACCCAGTACATACTGTTTTAGCAAAACCTTAACTTGTTGCCCTTCATGACATGCTTTTTCGAGGACAGTGGTTCTCCCTTCCCATCAAATGGGTTCTCAGGAAAGCAAACAAGGAAGATGAGATCAGTGAATCGAGACTGTATTCATGATTTAGATTCAGTTGATATGTTTCTTTTGTAGAACCAACCATGACAGAATGGGAGTTGCCTTGATGTAGTGGGTAGAGCTTGCCTCTGGCCCAAAGATATTGTGTTTGAGTCCGCTGTGATCCAGCTTGAAAACAGAAATAACCTTGGCTGCTAGGTCATCCCAACCTTAAATGGGTATCAGGTAAAGTCCTGGGAAACAAAGGTGGCTAGCATAATTTTGATCACATTACCCACTGAGTGCTGATTGATCTATACAAATGTCCATCTAGCATTGTATGCCCCATGCACCACTGGTGTAAAAACAGTCCTTTACTTGTTATTTTACCGACCATGACAAAGAAGAATTTGTGGTGACCATGCAAGAAAACTTGCACTGTAAGACCCCTTGCACTATATGACCCCTATCAATAAACACAAACAGAGGAAAGTATTAAATGGAATAAATTTGCCAGGTCCTAAACAGCAGTATGTATCAGGAGTATTATACATTGACCCTATGGCCTCAATCACTGAAGCTTATGGGAGAATTTGTCATCCACTTGGCTTTCAAAAAAAGCCATTTGGGTCGTCGTAAGGAAAACCCCTATCTATTTGTTATTTTACCTACAATGACAAAGAAGAATTTATGGTGACCATACAAGAAAATTTGCTATATATTCAGTATTTTTCGCCTATTTTTTTTTTTTATCTACACTTCTAGGTGAAGTGTTGGAGCAAGAGTCAGTTGTGATCTAAATGTTACTTGTAAGGTCTTAATGGTTTTGTGTGTGTTGTATTTATACTGTTCACAAAAAGAAACACATAGATTTCCAATGGTGCTTTCCACATAGCAACTGAAAGGAACATCATTTTGGCATAATTTCGACATACTTCTTCTCTTCTTCTTTGAGTTCGGTTTCGTATGCTCAGATCAGACCATCAGGTGGGTTGTCTTTATGAACTCACATGTCAGTAGCAGTTCCTTCATTTTGACATACAAAATCTTTGTAATTTTTTAAGTGAAATTGTTCAAATTGCACACAAGAATACCTTAGGGTTCAACCAATCAACAGTTTTTTTTGCATTGAGTCCTCGATAGATTTTAGGCATACAGGCTTTCCCACCACATGACTGTCTTGATCTTCGAATGATAAGATGAACAGTGTATCCAGAGAGACAGTGTGATTTGTTTATTTCAGTATAAAGAAATCAGTTTTTGTGAGCTTCATTGTATGTAAATGTAACTCTGTAGTAATGCACCTAAAAAGGTACAACGATGTGAGGCAATAAATTATGCAGTGTATTGTTTTGTATCTACATTATTTAAACTATTCTGATGTTCACAGACTTTTTGATAGAATGTTCTGATGCATTTATTGCCTGGGATGTCTTTCTTCTTGTGTCAGTATTGCTTTGTGGTGCTAGACATCAGAGTTTAACAGACGATAGGTAAGGGAGCCGGGGTTGCTTGTATACTATAATGTTGTGAAATCTTAGGCTGGCAGTGAGTCCATCAATCCATTTTCTTCTAGGTTTGATGAGTTTCCTAGTTTCATATTGCCTGAGATTTAAAGAATTAAAATCTCTGTGGGAGTTCCCTCCCACCCCATTTTTTTGACACACATACACACACAAGAGATAGACCCATCCCCACCCCTGCCCCTTACACACATACACACACAAGAGATAGACCCATCCTCCCCCCCCCCCCCCTGCCCCTTACACACATACACACACAAGAGATAGACCCATCCTACCCCCCCCCCGCCCCTTACATACATACACACACAAGAGATAGACCCATTCTCCCCCTGCCCCTTACACACATACACACACAAGAGATAGACCCATTTCCCCCCCCCCCTGCCCCTTACACACATACACACACAAGAGATAGACCCATCCAACCCCCCCATCCCCCTGCCCCTTACACACAAACACACACAAGGGATAGACCCATTGCCCCCCCCCCCCCCACCCCCACAACAAACATGTAAAATATGACTCAAAGTCAAAGTGCATCTGCCTGAGAGGCAAGGAACCAACAGTCTACCTACATCTAAGCAACGTCTGTAAAAAGAATGTGCATGCAAAACTCAAATTTTAGAACAAGACCATAGTCCAGAAATTGACGAGCAGCCAGAACTTTAAGAGTTTACAGCCGGTGAAGATGAAGAAGAAGAAAAGAAGTCAGTAAAGGACCTTTTCCCACACCATTAGTTGTTATTGTGCATATAGGGCTTGATCTCTATTTTTAGACCTATCGGCTCTTGGTTAATAATATGTTCAACAGCACCCCAACTGCCTTTACCTCCCAGAATTTTACCTTTTATCCATTTAAGGTCGACCTGGGAGCCATAGCCAGTTAGTTTTTAAATCCAGCGCTATGCAAATTTAAAGCATGATCTTTGAGCCAGAGGCGAATGTTAAGAAAAGAAGAAGAAGGGATTAAAAACCTAAAGCTTAACTCTTTGAGTCCCAGGGGGTTTCGCATCACAGGCCCAGAGGGTAGTGAATAGAGTTATAAAATCAGCACACCACGCGTTCCTTGGGACTCAAAGAGTTAACTGAGAGTTGAAACATGATGTGTGAAACGGACATGGG